TTCGTAAAAATTGATCCTTCGAGATTGGAGAGAATTTCTATTTCACATGGAGTTGAGAATTTGGCACGATGAAAAAATCTTTGTGCATCGAACTAATTAGCTTTGGCGATCACGTCTGAATATGCGCGCGAAAACGATGATAATTTTTCTCGATAAAATTTCGCTAATCGCATTTCGGGATGGAACGTACCGTCACGTTTCATGTTGACCTGAAGACACTTGGTGAAGCGGCAGGCTTGGCACTGGTTGCGTCGCGACACGTCCACGATACAGCGGCCATTCTCCTTGCACACGTAGTCAAGATTTCTGCATACAATACACGCAATAAACAATCCTTTGGATATCCGAGCGTTCCTTCGAGCAATTCCGCGTATTACTGCGTATTTCTCAATCACTCCTCACGATTACAAGCGTCTGCGAGTGAACCTCGTGACATTTGTAACATTACATCGTAGAAGGACAATATTTCGGGAGAAAAGTCTTACTTGGCCGTTACGGCCGTTGAATTAGACCTGGAGTTAATTACCTCGCGTACCTGCGGATTGACCGCTTGAAGAAGCCACGACATCCGTCACAGCTCGGCACCCCGTAATGTTTTCCCGAAGCCTTGTCCCCGCAAACCTTGCAGAGTGTCTCTCCGCGGTTGTTCTCCTCCATTTCGGCGAAACTGTATGAGCACGGAGAAATCCGACTTTGTGGAAGGTATAAATTTCTCATGTTACATACCCATTAAATTGGCGACGCGCGATACGCGTGTACAATATTCCGTATTAACGAAATATCGATCAAGTGGGGGGGGGGGGAACGTCGGGATACACCCTTCAAGGCTTGATAAAATCTAAAGAATGACAAAGACAGACTCGAATTGTGTATTCCAAAAAATGTTATGTTTCATGGCCAGGATACTCCTGGGCGTTGGTCGAATGAAAATTTGGTTAATAAAAATAATGAAATTTAACAGCAAAATTAACACAATAATTGTCTCGATAGCGATTATTTTGATCTGATTGATTGATTGGTTATACGTCGATGAATAATTAATTTCTTTAATCGATTAAGTTATTTGCACATTACATGTACTGACTGTACATTGTAATAATAATTCAGCGATTATTTTAATCAACCGTGACAATAAGATTTCTTGACCGATTAATGTTCAATACTGTATCACAAGTAGCGCAGAAGCGCTACCGAATATTCTCTATTATCCTTCACACACACACACACACACACACACACACATACACTTTTGGCCTGAGAAGAAGGCCAAAGAGGCTAAGGGAGATGCGTTAGCGTGGCGTACTTGATACGTTGTATATTTCTTTTCGAAAGCGAAGAGGGAGCAGGAGAAGGAGAATGAAAGTATGAGAATGAGAATGAGAATGAGAATGCGAATGAGAAGAAGGAGAAAGAAAAAGAGAAGGAGAACAGGAACGAAGCTATATATTGACAACGAGGCGTTGTGCATTGTCGACGATTGAAACAGAAAGTTCTGATGTCGCGACGAGTAGTCACTGACGTAACTATGAGCGGCTCCGCTACGTTATGAATGCATGACGAAGCTAGACTAGAAGTGCACACCTGAAGAAGACATTGCTCTCTCTCTCTCTCTCTCTCTCTCTCTCTCTCTCTCATCTATCGTATGCAATTTGCGGCTTCCTTGCTACGCGCTACGCTGTAGGTTAAAGCCGAGCTTTAGAAACACCGGCAAGCTTGCGTATTACACGGTCGTTTAATGCAATATTCGGCGGCATCTCTAAACGTCGGCCTGCGACGGTCAACTCTGGGACATCCGCCGCAAAATAATGTACGTAAAGGCCAATCTACATAAGACTCAGGACGCGAGCCGTAGGTCGCAAGTCGCAAGAAATAACGCTTGATCGCGAGATTTGTTGCGTCTAATGTAGTCTACATAGATACGCAGCGAACATTCTCTCTGAGCCAATGAAATAATAGAATGTCCTGTGTCCTATAGTAGATTGGCCTTAACAAAATACATTCCGATTGTTCGGCTAGTCGCAAGACTAGCGGGACGCGGAAAATTAAGATTCGGTTAATTTTTGTGCGTCCTGCGTATTGAAGCCTGAGACATGTAGCGGCTGGAAACACGTCACGTTGCGTTCAGTCTTGCGACCTGCGTCTTATGTAGATTGGTTAACGTTTAAAGCGTTAGGTAGCATTTTTCTATCCAGCCGCTGTTGTGCGATGGCTACTACCCTATCGCGAGCGCACCGTAGCGATGGTCGGGGCAAAATCGAAGAGAGAAACGTGTACTAGTCACTCTCGTGGTCACAAAGTCGAGCAGCCAAGAGGTCGCGTGTCCTCGCGAACGGTTTCACAGCGGCGGCATCACGGACCCTCTTTCCCGTGACTTTCCGTCCCCTCAGGAGGCCCTCAGGGCTATCGCCTCCTGCCCGTCTTCCTGCACCCTCCTCCTCCTCGCGGACCCGATGAGTGTCCGGGCCACCTGGTCGTTTCCCAGGCTCAATAATGCAGCGACCTCGACGTGGAGAGCATCGTCCAGGCGTTCGACGCTGGTGAACCACCAACCACTACCGTCCCCGCCGACCGTTGACTCCCACCGCCGTCGCTGACGATGACGCCGTCGCCGCCGCCGCCGCCGCCGGTTGAAGGAGTCCTGACGCGGATGATGCCACAATATCGCCGCGCTTCTCTCTCTCTCTCTCTCTCTCTCTCTCTCTCTCTCTCTCTCTCTCTCTCTCTCTCTTCATAATTTGCCTTTCTCGCTTCCCGTTAGGCCGCAGCCGTGAGCAAAATTCTCGAACCTTCCAACACGCGAGCGCCTTAGCCTGTCATAACATTTTTATTAGCCGATGACCGCCGCCTTCCGCGACAATAACCCACATGCTACTCAATCTGACTCCTTCGTCGGACTTGGAGTGGAGGAGTGGACTCCCCGTTCCGTGAGTAGCAATCGGACGATTATTCGAACGGTTCTCGCATGAGAAGCGCCTGATCGCTGATGCAAATTACTACGTAACGCTTACTAAAAATTAATCGATTCGACTTTTTCACAAGGACGAGAAATTGTATTCCGGGAGAACGGCCGAACACACGACAGTGCGTGTTAATCGATCTCGAGATGCTGCTGACAGATAATAAATTTAGCAGCAAACGATATTCATCTTTCGTCCACGACCAATTTTTTGCCTAATATTGTATCTGGCATAGAGGAAGCGAAACAATTCAATTCAAAAACATACCATTGGTACGTACAAATTTGGTTACGCAAATTGTATCATAAATTGCAGAATATGCGCTGACCTTTTGTCAAGTAAGAGACTGGAGAGAAGGATTACACAGAGAATAGCGAACGAAAACAGAAACAACAATAGAGGAACAAAGGAATCGTCCGTTTGTTTTTCGTCCTTTTGTTTTTCCATTTTTCGTTAAACTCTTCTCCACCCACGTGGTGTTACCTAGGCACATTGTAACCACGCATGGTGCGCCAGTGTGCAATTACACGAGGCGTATTATTTAACCCTGTTTGTACGAATACGCGTGTCGTGTGTCGTGTCGCGTCGCGTCACTTATGCACGCACGTAACATATGTCGCGCTACACCAAGAGTCATAACGGGGGTGAGTCGGACAGTCAGATTTTCCGCCCTCTCTTCGAACGCACAGACCGCACCGAGCGTACCAAACAGATGAGAGAGAGAGAGAGAGAGAGAGAGAGAGAGAGAGAGAGAGAGAGAGAGCTGAGAGAGAAACGGGAAGATGATGAAAAACAGGCGACTCAAAGTGCAAAAACGGACGGAGAAAAAAATACTTACAAATATGTTACAATATCGTTATACTTGGAAAAAATATCTAACATTGTCTTATACTTTCTTATATTCTCATATTATACATCCCGAGTAGAAGACCAAATATGAAATTAATTGACAGATTCTAATATATGATGATCATTTTATAAAATCTTTGTCGAAATTAGGGATTTTGTTCGTAATTTGTTTCAAAATCACTTGATATCATTTTGATGGAATGTCCAGTTCAGCACTGTTTGCTTACGATAGAGATACAGCTGGAAAGAGCTGACTGTTTTGAAAAGTTACGACAAACGACGACGTTTACTTATTGAGATATTGACGAGCGTTACGCTCGTGGTGACAATTTGGCGCATGCCCATCGATCATGCAAAGTTCGACAAGCGCGGCGCGACTTGCGCTTGCAACGCGCTCGTCTAATGCCGATCCGATGACTTTTCGATACTTTCCGACGGCGCGTCGCGCTGCAAGGTGACGACGCATGCAAATTTTTTTCCGCGTCACGTCACGTGCGTCCTTTCGCATAAAAAAATGCTGATCGATCGCGCCGACCGCACGCGGGTATGTAATAGAAAATAACTCGGCATAATTTTGTGGCTATAGTTGGGCGCGTGCGAACTTCGCGACGCGATTTATTAACGATACGACAATTCCGAGACGAACATTTCTCACAAGCTCTTAGTTGAATCGCGCTCCGATATAGTTGCAAACATGTGAAATTAAGTTCTTTGCGCAAACAATATTTTATTTTAGAAACGTTCTATAGAGATATCGAGAAAACAACATGGCAATAATATAAAGTTGAATGTGGAGACCAAGTCTACATTTGAGACGCGTAAAAAGGTATCTCCATTTCTTTCATACTATGGCGCATTCTCCCATGTTACATATATATGTATATATATATATTTATATATATGTATGTGTACTTCATGTTCCTCGCAAATATAGCCGATAAAAATTGCGGCAAACTCTTTGCTTACACTCTTTGCTTAGATGAAAAATTTTCGATACCGTCGTCGCCGTCACGTCTTGTCATTGCCGAGAGATCCGGATTGATTGGATGTGTCGTTGATATGCTCTTTCTTATTAATTAATTTAATTAATTAATTCAAGCTAGTCCGTGCAATGCGTGGCATTATTAGAATATAATCGGCGTGGAGAGGGTTTATTAGGAAAAAAGGCATGCGTGGCGAATCCTTCGTTTGCTCGTCATCGCACGCGTATCGTGATGCATGTTGCTGAGTAAGTCTCACCTGGATCCGCGCGCAAATCCTCGCCATCGCAACAGCATCGTAATCTCATTCGCGTTGACTCGGCGGCTTATTTGTGAGAGACATGTGCATATATATATGTGTGTGTGTGTATGTGTATTGTTTAGGTTGCAGTCATTGTTCACAAAATCTTTTTCTTGTATCCAGACTTGAAGTTGCTGCTTGTGAGAGAATGTAAAATTCAACGGACACAGTAAAGTCATTACATAGATTATCGAAACGCGAGAAATTGACAGAGAAATGTGTACAGTTTGAAAAGGATTTGTGCAAAATATTGATAATTAATATTTACCAAGATATATTGTTTGTACTTTTGTGAATGTAGTGAAGAACGGAGCTCGCGCGGAACATCAGGTTTCTCCTTTTTCGTGCGCTCACGCAAACTACGCCGTTTAATTTTTAACGATTCGTTTCTGCGTAAACACGGCTGTTACGTCGAGTCAGTCCGACGAGACTTTGTTTGTTATGCCAAAGGGTCGCAGTATAATTAACAACTTGTAAATAATAATCGATCTCGCCTTCGGGCGAGCGACATGCACGCTGCGCGATACAGCGCGCTGAGCTGAGCTGAGGCGAGCTTTCCATTTGTCGCGTAATTAAGC